GTTATTCCGGTTTGAAAATCCAAAAAATAGTGTTTTATTGAACTTCTATCAGACTTTTGAGCTCGGAGAGCTCAAAATAACACATAAATTATATTTTTGAGCTCGACGAGCTCAAAAACATAATAATTGCAATTTTAAGTGCCTATAGGTATTATGGAATTAGCGGGAAGTTGCAGGGATGGCCTTCAGGGTCAACCGTTTTCCTAATTTTTTTTCAATTCTATAATATTTTAGAATATTTCACAGATTTTTATGAAATTAAACTCCATTCTATAAAATTTCAGTACCGAAGTTTTATTAAAATTTGTGAGATTTTATGAAACCTCATAGAATACTATGAACTTGAACAACATGATAAACGGAAAAAAATGTTTGCATCTTGATATGTCTAAACATGGCTTAATTGGTTATATGTCAAAGCATATCGACGGTCTAATTAGCAATTGATGTAACAATAGTCTAATTATAAATTATTTGAATGATCCAAATCAAAATATTGCACCTCTATTAGATATTAAATTATTTTTTAAAGTGATAATAAATTTTGAACTGATTGTTTTTTCGTACAAATGGAAGATTCTCTAAAATGGAGTTAAGCACTTTGCTAATAAGAACGTCGATATCTGGCCTGATATGATTAGATCTGTCAATTTTTTGATTCAACGTAGATTTTCAAGACTTTTTGATTAAAAGCTTTTCTAATATTAGTTTTTAGTTTGATAAATTACTGAATTACATGTTACTTAATACGACATGTTACTTGACTTACATGTTTCTAGAAAAAGTTTAAAATTAAAAAATTATAATAATCTATTTTTTTGCTATCATGTATAGCCGGATATGGCCATGTATGACTCTTAGAGAAGATAAAAATGTAGCTTATGTACTGCAAAACTATAAATCAGTTGATAAATAGCGCCCCTGTGTGGCCTAAGGCTAAATTATTGACTCATCGAAGACTAGTCAAATTTAGTTTCTTATCAACGATCAATAAATGACGTCGAATTAGACAACCATTTTTAATAAGCTACTTTAAGCGTGATTCTGAAACTAATAAAAATAAGAAAAATGGTATAAATAATGAATGCTTTGGCGGCTAGAGTGGTTATAAACAGCATCCATGTGCACAATCTAATTAACGTCGATAGTAATTTTCTTTTCAATAAGTTTTTTGATATAATGAACGAGATGAAATTTTTTCTTTTGTAACATCAAGTGTATGCTTCGAGTTTTTTTGGTATTTATAAACTTTTATTATCTTACAAGTGCAGTATGAATGTAATGAAAGTGAATGAAATTAAAAGAATAGCTTGGCCTTCACAAGTTGAGAGTCGTGAACTTCAAATGCTTTCTGCTGTTAGCGTACAATATATGAAGTTTCTTTAATTTTTTTAATAGTAAGAGTATAATAAAAGATGTAAAAAATAAATCATTTTTACTAGAACACTTCAATAATGATACTTTCAAGTAATTATGTGATATTTTATTCGAACTTTCTGATGTAAAAATATTTATTTATGCAAAAAAATCCGGTAATAATTAAGTGAAATATAAACTCATTCATCAAAATAAAATAGTATTTATTATGTTATAATATTATAAATTATCTCAATAAACGTATATGAAATGTTAACATTTAATCAGCATTAATAAAAAATAATTATAGCAAGTTTAGTTTAATAATTATTCATATGGTCTAGAATGTTAATGGTGATAAAAAATGCAAACAAAGAAACGGTTGGTCCTCGGCAAATTGATGACTTATGCAAGCACACAAATGATGTCACCTCGTTAATTAACATTCACGACACGAACTTGGTGAATTCTGAGTCTGCAGATATGCACTCTTGGTGATTTATTACATATACTAAAGACTTATACATTTAGATATTGTCGTGAATAAAAAATAATTAACAAAAGTAAATGTTATAAAAATAATAATAAAAAATTTTACCTGGTTTTATATCCGCCCAAATATATATATGATGCTAAAAAACCCAGACACTCTTTAAATTATTGTGCAAGTTAAATGATTTAGCCTCAATTAGCTCAGAAATTTTGACTTTAAATTAACTTGATTTCATTATAAATTAATCAATAACATTTAAGACATATAAATACAAATACCAATACCAGCCATGCACTCGAATAACATTAACAAAAAATATTGTTAAGTTAAACTAATCATCAAGTTAATTAATCTTCTGAAGGACTTCAACATACCAATTAAATTCATATTATTACAACCGATATACTATATTAAAAAAATATTTGATAGTGATACCTAAATTATTATGTTTTATCTGTAAAAAAAAGTGAATGCAAAAAATAAGAGTCAGATAATTTCAAAATGCATTGACTAAGCTAAAATGAAATCTTAAAAATTGAAATGTAAATTTCATAAGTAAATTTTGAATAAAACTTTTTCTTTCTTAGTAGCCTTATTTATAAGTTATAAGCATAAATTATGAAAAAATTTCTTCTTTACTTAATCAAAAAAGAATTTTTTCTGTGTATTTTAGATTATAGCTGTACTTCATCTCATATATTTATTGTGTTAAATTATAACATTTGATCTAGTTAAAAAATTACCTGACATAATTACTTTAAAGAATTTAACGCTCTGATAATAACATCTGTAAGCTTTTTTGATCAATTTATTGGTTCGAAAGTTATTGAATATGTAGATCACCGAAAATTTTCACTTTTTTTGTGGTTTTACACTAAAGTTAATAAAATCTGGAAAAAAATTTTTAATTTGATCTAGAAAAATAAAGAAAAACACTCACGTGGATGTTATTTAAATATTTAAACCATTGTTATGTACTGGAGTTTTTCGATAATGACCCACCCCAATTAAAAAATTAGTTAAATACAAAAAATATTAATAAAGAAGACAATTTTGAAAAATTTGATTATCAAACTAAGCAATAACAATCTTAAACTAACTAAAATTTATTTAGACTAATAAAAATTTCTCTTTTAAAGAACTTTTCTGCAGAATCTAAGAAGAGTAAATTTTTCAAAATTATTTTCTTGACCGAAGATTTTTTCTCTTGAATATATTTAATTTTTCATCATGCAGTGGATAGTTACAGTAAAATTCTCAAAAACAATCGCAGTACTCAGATACCTTAAAAAACATCTATTGAACAAATAAAATAATGACATTTGTAAAATCACAAAGTCAGAAAATTTTAAGAAGTTATTTCCTGCGTGTACCTTGAGTCGCCGTTGTCCAAGACGGAATTAAGTTACCGACTACCCCTTCCTCGAGGAATTCAGCGAGGGAGAATAATATATATGTACAAATTCTATAAGGATACACGCACGTAATGTATAAGGAGAAGGGTGAAGAGGAAGAGACCGAGGGTCACGCATGGGCGTTGCCCAGGACCTATCCGATTTCACCGTCAACCAGATCGCTTCATCTTTATCTTTTATTTTTCTTCCTTTAAATAGAATAGATCCTTGCTTGCCTACAACAGGAGCCCATGGTCATTTGCTTTTTTTTTTGCTTTTATATCCTCATCGTTTGCAGGTAATACTCTGGTTCGTTACGCACGCCATTGATTACAGAAACGACCGGTAGCCACACACTCACCGTCTTCACTATCCTTCCTGATGTGCGTTACATGTTATATTGTATTCTCTTCTTTATCTAGCTCCTACTATACAGCTACACCGATTCTTTGGTAGTTTTTAAAGCTTAAGAAAAAAATATTTCGGACTTGCGGCACGTGCGACCCGATGTATAAAAGCTATGAGCTATGACCATCGCCCGAGATGTACGTTAGGACCTTTTTTGTTTTGTTAAGTATTCTCAATTCATTTATTTAAAAAGATACCTATATGCATGATGCATGATGTATAGAATGTAATTGTTAAAAAAGAGGTGGTGGTGAGTAGAACCACGAGAGGTTAATCGAGGGAGGGATCCCAATACCAAGAAGCGTGTTAGCACCAGGGAGAGAATAAAATCCTATAAGTGTGGACATGCGTGCTTCTAACGGATATGCAAATCTTTATAAATTTTTACGGGATGGCGAACGGACATTTTACGCTTCTTATCGAGTTCTTCAGACATTCGCTTAACGCTTCTGGCATTTTATTCGATAAGGTTACTTTCGATAAAGCTAATAAAAAAAAATTAGAAAAACGGTTCACCCTAAAGGCCATCCCTGCAACTTCCCGCTCATTTTGTATTTAAACGCTTCAAACTACTCATTACGTTTTTGAGCTCTTCGAGCTCAAAAATATTATTTTTGTGTCAATTTGAGCTCTTCGAGCTCAAAATTCTAATAGCAGTTTAAAGACACAATTTTTTGAATTTTCAAACGGCAATAACTTTTGAATGAATGAACCTATTTTCACGCGGTTGGCGGCAATCGACGCAGTTTTTGAAGCTCCATGAAAAATTTTCAAGTTTAAATAGATCGAGCCATGAATTTCGAAGTTATTACAAAAAAACACTTTTTTCGATTTTTTTCGACAACGATATCTCACGAACGCATCAACCGATTCTAACGTTTTTGGTGGTGATCGATGGAGGTTTTCAAGGTTAAGAGCTGATTAGTTTTTGAGACCGATCGGTTCAGCCAATTCGGAGATATTTGAAAAAAAAAAAAAACAACTTTTTTTTTCACTTTTTTTGCATTTTCTCGAAATCTACCGGTCGGAATCGGTTCAAATTTTCAGGAAATCTAAGTTTAGTGAAACCCTTCGAATGACACCAACCGCGATGAAATCGGTCGAGTCGTTCAAAAGTTACAAGAGGTTTACATACACACACACACACACACACACACACACACACACACACATACAGAAAACAGTATCTTCCCGATTTTCAATTTTCTTAGCGGGAAGTTAAAAACTCCATTCAAGTTAATTATTTATACTTATACTTAGGCGGACTAGGAAAATCTTGTGAGCTGGATGAAGATTGCGATGAAATAAAACACGCAAAATGTTCCAAAGATGGCAAGTGTATCTGCCGGATGAAAACAGTAAGAACCGATCCATGGACTTGCGCACCAATTTTGGGAGGATTTTGTTCGAACAATGAAACTTGTGCTGCTGATAATGCTGTTTGTGTTAACAGCGAATGTAAATGCAAGAAAGGTTATTTTCAGCGGCCGAATAACCAATGCGTACGCAGTGGGTAATTTTTTTACTATAAAAAGTGATTTAATATTCACTATTAATAGGTTTATTATTTGTAATAGATGTTTTGGGTACTCGGTGTGAAAACGATGAAGCATGTAATCTTGTAAAGTTTGCAAAATGTTCTGAATATAAAGTATGCGCTTGTACATCCAATACTACTGCAATAACTTCAATTTATTGCGCTCCAATTTTTGGCGGATTTTGCTGGGAAAATGACGAGTGCGTGACACTTAATTCAATTTGTTTAAACAATAAATGTCAATGCCACGGAAAATATAACCAATATACTACTGAAAAAGGATGTGTATCAAGTAAGATGAATTTTTTTTATTATTTTTATAAAGTTTTTAACAGATAAATTATAGCAAGAAAAATTTGTTTATGAAATTCCATCTTTAGAAGCACTAAAAAATTGTAAATGCGATTTTTTAAAAATAATTTTCTTGGGCTAATTTATTATTCAAGAAAAATTTTAAAAAGTCATCAAGTGTCTGCTGATTTCAATATCATTTTTTATTTTATTGTCATGTTATAGTTCGTGGAAATGTTATGCGTTACAAGAGTAAGATATTAGCTGAGAATAAAATTTCAAATGCAATATGTACTGGAGTAAACGACTCCCGGGTCAAAAAATTTACCCGGGTCAAAAAATTTAGTCTGTTTTATGATTAATAAAATGTTTTAATATTTTTCATTCAATTTAATTTTATTTTATGTCCCGGGTCAAAAAATTTAGTTTGTTTTATGATTAATAAAAATTTTTAATATTTTTCATTTAATTTAATTTTATTATGTGTATCTATTTTATATGAGAATTTAATCTGTTTTTGCCCGTACTATTCACAATTCAGACTAATTCCAGATCATTTTTAATGTTATAATAAAATTGTTTTCTATTGTTTCAAAAACCGACCAAAACATTCTATAATTTTTAATCGGTTTTTCATCGCTTGTAGATCAAAAACCGACCTTTTACGAATTTGATAATAATAATATTAATAATAATAAAAATAATAATATATTTATTTCTTATTATTTTATTCATGTCCTCGAAGATCCTCTACAGGGCACGGCTTTTCATTCTCTGAAACTGAAATAGTGACCATTCACTATTTCGTGAATATATTATAAATTAATTTATTTTTTCAAATAAATGCGACTTATAATTTTTAATGAGATACTTTTAAGTTAAAAAAATTATAAGTCGCCATCTTAATCGATTTTTGGCCTTCAAACATTTAGAGTGAAAATTATAGATCAAAAACAGTATAAAATTTCAGATTGAATTTGAAAACAATACATAAAGTCCATCTACAAATTAACTAAACTAAAAACCGATCAAACTTTTAAAACTTTTTAGTCTCATTAGATTAGAAACAGTATAAAATATTCATAGCTGCTCAATTATTTTACTAAAAAGTTATTTAGACTTAAAACCGATCAAAAATAATTTGAATAGTAGATCAAATACAGACGAAAATGTTTTTAAAAGTTCAAATACAGGTCAATAAGTTCAAATGCAGATCATTTAGCTTAAAATCAGTTTAAATTTTTCGACCCGGGCTGCGTATGTTTCCAACAATATCCATTCGAAGAAACTAATCGATGTACATCAAAAGATGAAATTGTATGTGAGGCAGATAACTGGTGTGTAGTCGAAAATTCTGGGTGCATTGATAATTTTTGCCAGTGCAAACCACAGTTTGGATATAGATCCAATCAATGTCTACCTCGTAAGTTTTATTGTTAATAGTATAAATTTACAACACCTAAATAAAAGTAGTTTTAATTTTCTTAATTTATTCCAGTTGCTCATTTAAATGACTTCTGTTTGCTTGATTATGACTGCAGAGAAATAGATCATGCAATATGTTCAAAGGATAACAAATGTAAATGCGATGAAAACTATGTAGCTGTGAATCAAACTTCATGTAGACCAATTTCTGGTGGAATTTGTTCAAAAAATAAAGACTGCGGAAATATTAATGGAGCGTGCATTGACTCTAAGTGTGGATGCATGCCATTTATGGTTAAATTTTCAAAATATTTGTGTTTAGCACGTGAGTAAAAAAATTATAAAAAAATTTATAAACTTTTTAGCAATCCGTATTTTTTGCGTTTTGAATGAATTTTTTTTTTTTATTTTATTTGCAGCTCAATTAGGGATACCATGTAAGAGTAATGAGGATTGTAGAAAAATATTAAACAGTATATGCTCCGACAATGGAATATGTGAGTGCAAAATAAATTTTGGAGAATACAACAGCACCGCATGTGCCTCTCTTCTTGGAGAATCATGTTTTGAAAATCAATTGTGCGTCCCACTTCATTCTAATTGTAAAAATGATATATGCCTGTGTGATGATGGATTTTTAGATTATTCTAAAAAAAAATGTATACCTCGTAAGTCATATGATACTGAACAATATTCAATATCCAAACATTCATTAATTTGTTGCTTCTGTATTTATGCAGACTACTTTAAGTCTGGTATCCCTGGGAAAGAATAGGAGTTACGGATAATTATTACGTGAAGCGTTCCAACATTTACGTAACAGGATAATTGGTAGGAAAGGATTGAGAAAGGATTGTGGAGAGGATCATCTTAATGTGAGTGTATAGAATATGCGAGAAAAAATTATTAGATAGCTCGGACTGGGATACCATACTGGACTGCATACCACAGTACATATTTAATATGTATTGTGAAAATGATGATAATTGCAAGTATATAGCAAATGCAAAGTGTCAGAATGACACAAATATTTGTACTTGCAAAAATGGCCATGAGATGGTTAATGAGACAGCTTGTGCTCCGCTTCTTGAAGAATCATGTTTTGAAAATCAATTGTGCGCCCTACTTCATTCCAGTTGTAGAAATGATAAATGCAAATGTAACGATGGATTTATACAATATTCCAAAGAAAAATGCTTACCTCGTAAGTTTACACAAACTGGACAATATTAAATCCATGAACATTCATTAATTTGTTTATTTTCTGTATTCATGCAGACTACATAAGGATGTACTGTGAAGATGATGATAATTGCAAATATATAGCAAATTCTGAGTGTCGAACTGACATAAATATTTGTATTTGTAAGAGTACCCATAAATTCTTTAATGAAACAACTTGTGCTCCGCTTCTTGGAGAATCATGTTTTGAAAATCAATTGTGCGCCCCACTTCATTCCAGTTGTAGAAATGATAAATGCAAATGTAACGATGGATTTATACAATATTCTAAGAAAAAATGCTTACCTCGTAAGTTTACACAAACTGGATAATATTAAATCCATGAACATTCATTAATTTGTTTATTTTCTGTATTCATGCAGACTACATAAGGATGTACTGTGAAGATGATGATAATTGCAAATATATAGCAAATTCTGAGTGTCGAACTGACATAAATATTTGTATTTGTAAGAGTACCCATAAATTCTTTAATGAAACCACTTGTGCTCCGCTTCTTGGAGAATCATGTTTTGAAAATCAATTGTGCGCCCCACTTCATTCCAGTTGTAGAAATGATAAATGCAAATGTAACGATGGATTTATACAATATTCTAAGAAAAAATGCTTACCTCGTAAGTTTACACAAACTGGATAATATTAAATCCATGAACATTCATTAATTTGTTTATTTTCTGTATTCATACAGACTACATAAGGATGTACTGTGAAGATGATGATAATTGCAAATATATAGCAAATTCTGAGTGTCGAACTGACATAAATATTTGTGTTTGTAAGAGTACCCATAAATTCTTTAATGAGATAACTTGCGCACCCTTGTTGGGTGAACACTGCAAGCCTAATGAACAATGTGCTATAAAGAATTCTCACTGTATAAGTGATGTGTGTGCATGTCAATTAGGTTATCAAAATCATAACGGAAACTGTGTATTTATTAATTGTAAATATCTTCTTATTTTTATAATCATATATGTATCAATTTATCAATTTTTATTATTTTTTTATTAGCTGGTTCGGACTTCATTCCGATATCGTGTCGTGAAGATAGTCATTGTTCTATCATAAAATATGCCGTTTGTTCTTCTGATGACAATTGTAAATGTAAGCCGAATTATGTCCCCCTCAGCCATGATAAGTGTCTAGGTACTATAGGCGAATATTGTAATTCCAACGCTGAATGTTATTCTTATAACACTGTTTGCCTCAATAATATATGCCAGTGTTCTGATAAATTTTATGCTTCTAGCAAAACTCATTGTGATCCAAGTAAATATCATTATCTATTATTTTTAATATATATAATAAAAATAAGAAAATTGAGATTAATATTATTTATTTTCAATTATAATTACATAAAGTTCATCTGGGATGAACATGTCAAAATAATCAAGATTGCTTAGTAGCGATAAAAAATTCAGAATGTTCCACCAGGGATAAAATATGTGTTTGCAGAAAAAAAATATTACCCTGTAAATGAATTCGAATGTCTTCTTTCTTTGTATGGAGATTGTCTAAGCAATGATGACTGTCGATTAAATTCCACTGTATGCATATACAACCAGTGCAAATGCCAAGATAATTTCAGCCCTATTTCAGAAACTCAATGCAGACCAGGTAATTCCAAACCAGATAAAGGACAAATTCAAATACTTGATAAAATAAATAGATGATAGATAATTGATAAATATAATTATTTCAGATGATTATTTCTACCGTTGTGATCAAGTAATAGATTGCGGCGATCCTTGGCATTATACTTGTAATGCTGATAAAAAATGTCGTTGCAAAAACAATCATTTTTCAATAAATAGATCAACGTGTTCACCAGATTTGAAAGGTTATTGCTGGAATGACACTCAATGCACTACTCATAATTCTACCTGTGTTGATTTTCACTGTAAATGCAATGATAAATTTGTTGGCGTTTCTAACAATTTATGTTTACCAGGTATCATCATTAATTTTTTTTATTTATTGAAATTTTTTTTTTATTGTTTATTGAATTTTTATTTTGTTGCAGAGTCTCATTCAAAACGATTCATTTTTTAAAAAGATGAAGAATAATCACGATTTAAACTGAATATACTAAACAAGAATAAATACAAAAATACGCTGACGTTATAATTGAATATTTCTATCTTTCAAAACATACTTTTTTTTATTGATTTAGTGTTTAAATTGGGACATATCGACGATTTTATATTGCAAAATCGTCCCATAGCGGCATGTCGAGAGTAAAGCACTTCCACACGCTCACGCGTGAGGTGTACAATAATTTACTTGATTAAAAATAACAATTTTTTTTACGTATGTGTATTTAATGAATGTAATGCTTGGTTTGAATTTTTTTTATGATTTACACATAAACTATGCGTCATAATTGACTTTATTCTATTTTAGTTTAAAAACATCTAATCCGGTCAAAATCGGTTGATTCGTTCGAGAGATATTGTGAAGGAAAGAAAACCGCAAAGTTTTTTTTCGGAATTACTTCGAAATTCCTTCTTCGACCGATTTAAACTATAAGATTTTTGATGAGGCTTAAAAAACGACGTCGAATGCCGCCAACCACGTGAAAATCGGTTTATTCATTCAAAAGTCATTGCGGTTTGAAAATTAAAAAAATAGTGTTTTATTTAACTCCTATCAGATTTTTGGAGAGCTCAAAATGAGACGAAATTAGTATTTTTGAGCTCGAGGAGCTCAAAAACGTAATAAGTGCAATTTTGAGCGCTTAAGTATGGAATTAGCGGGAAGTTGCATCAGGGATGGCCTTTAGGGTCATCCATTTTTCTAATTTTTTTATATTGGTTAACTGAGTTCCTTTTTTTTTGCTTCATTTTGATCTTTTTTTTTCTTTGAGTTCTTGGCGATACTTGACTCGTAAAAATCGTGGTTTTCTCTCTACGACTTTTTCTGGGAGGAGAATTTCCAGATTTTTATGGTAATGGCTTCATTAAAAAAAAATTTTTTTATGTGCTTCTTTTGGGGAGTAGGCCGTCGTGCCCAGAAAAAAATTTTTTTTTTTTCGATTTTCTGCAAAATTTCGTCTAATTTATTCAAAATACACGGAAAACAAACAAATTCAATGGTTAGAAACCACAAAAAGAAATAATCAGCTTAAGTGAGCCGTTGTGCCCCACCCTCTCGTACACTTTCTAGTAGATTTTCATGTTCACAAAAATGTTATGTTGACCGAAAATCGTTGATAAAATTTCAATTTATTTAATCAAATTTGCAATTTTTCCTTTAAAATTATTCTGATTTAGATAAACGAAAAGAAAAATATATGATCGTTCAAAAAAAATTAAAAATGTCATTTTTATCTATTCAAAAGTTACCGACCTTTTTCTAAATAATTAACAAACTTTTTTACGTTTGATAGACTAAAAACTCAATCAAATAATTTGAATTTAATCATATAAAAATCATTGAATAGTTCAAATCTCATTTTTAATTGTAACAGTTTTTCATACACAAAACAACTCAATCGCAGCATTATTTTATAATAAATGCGTGTGTTAATAAAAATTCATCAGATTACATAAACGCATAGTCATTGATAGAAACAAGTCTATCTTCCTAGATGTCATCAACACAGAGTGGTCATCTGAATGGAATCTTATACACATTTGTATACAGGTGTCATTATACTTAAAATCCCCCCAGGACTCTTGTATCTTTCAGTGGACAACGGCATCCTCAGACTGGACCCACACGAGTAGCACGTGCCTTTGGTCAATTCTATCCGTTCGAATGACCGACCGAGATCAAGTTTTTTTTAGTCTCGCATCCCCTTAATACTTTCTACATTCGTTCTACTATAAAAATAATATTTTACATACGTAAAATGAATCATTATACGGCTGTCATATTCCTGTCTACATCTATCGAATTATTAAAAAACAATGAAAAAAAATTCAGACAAACGATCAGCCAGAACATTTTTCATACTTGGCATCTATGTTAAATTGTGAATTATTTTTTTAGCAATATCTCAATCCGTTCGTGTTAAAAATGAGCACGTGTCATGTATTATGTGAATAAACTAAGCGACCGGTTTCTTTTTACATTTTTTCATTCTATACCATCAATGACCGATGGTCATTCAACTTTACCAGTCCAATTAATACCACTTTCAATCCAGAAATTTTACTTACGAACACAAACTAAATTTAACTTATTTTTTTTCTGTATTGGCTAAATAGTATTGAGTATGGTTAGTTCATGGGTCAAAATTTAACTATGGACCTACGGGAAGGTTCGGATCCAGTCATTAAAAATCATAATGTCGATTCAGAACCAACATCTAAACCAATGACGACTCAATGAATTCATGTTGTATGCATAATATTGAAAGGTAAAGTAGATCAGGTTATTGCTTTATCTAATTTAAAACCTTGTGTATACAAGTGAATTCATTAACCTGCTAAATTATCATAAACATTAATAATAGTGACTAGCAACCTGCAGTTACTTTGTGAGCGTTGTAAATTATGAATTATGAATAAAAACATTTTGATATCGAAAAACGATTTTTCGATACTTCTAATTACATTATGTTTCTATAGTTTAGGTACTTTTGAAATAAATTTGAAAAATAATATTGCTATGACAGGATCAATTAAAAATAATTTAATGAACAAATGCAACAGACACAAACACAGATAATCAACAAAATATTCAGAACTGCTGAAAAGACTTGGTTGGTCAAAAGTTATCTTGATTCAAAAGATAAATCTTTAACCAAAGATACCATTTTCAAGAAGATGATTTTCTTGAGTCGAGAAAGTTGTTTTCTTCAAAATGGTATTGTTGGTTAAAAATTTTTTCCCTTGAATTAAGTTTTTTATCAGTGTTGACAAAAAAAAAATTGACTATTGCTAAAAAATACATAATATCTTAAAAAAGAAAAAAATTCGAATGAAGATTTATCTGGATCATACCAAAGTTAACTATAAAGTCCTTCTGAAAATAAAAATATACTCATCGGAAAATGTTCCTTATTCTCTTAATTATGTAGGTGATAAATTAATTATCGTTGAAACAATATTAAGCCAGCACAAATTCAGGTTACAACCTTTCTAATGGTACCAAATTTAATTATAGTCAGGACCTTTCCAATTAAACTAAATTTATAAAAAAATTTATAAAAAACTAACATATCAATATGTTAGAGACAAAGTTTCCCGTATTCTCTTAATTATTTAGATTATCAATGTTTTGTATTATAAATCGCATATTTGAGTATTCAATGAGACAAGTATTGTATGATGTTTTTATTAGAAAGTCTGAAACTGTCGAACGCTAGAGCCTAGGCTTGTCTTTGATTTTATCAATCAAAAAATATCAAATATCACAAATCTAATGAGTTTTACCATTAAAATTTTTTATTGTTTTATACAATAAATTAATATATTATTTTAAATTTTATTCTAAATTATTTTCAATCATTACTGTAAATTTTCTATTTTTATAATAAATTTGTGGAACTTGAAAAAAAATTAAATAAATCGGTACAACAATTATTAACAAAATAATAAAATAAAAAAAAATTTTACTTTTGATTTTTTTATCTAAAATAGGTGATTACACCGGCACACAAAAAAAAAAGTTGTCAGTACTTTTGACCGGACCTACCTATCTTTATGTATTTTGACGCGCTGAATCCGAATCTGAAGTCAGTTTTGCTCGTACATCGTCAAAATTTTGAGTAAAATCCTAAAAACTCAAAAAAGGCGAAAAATTGCGAAAAACTGCAGTCACAGCGATGAATAAAATTTTGTGGACCTAGGTCAAGTATGATTATTATGTATTTCAATTCACTGAATCTGAATCTAAACGTAAATTATTATTCTTCTTAAATAATAATTATTATTCTTCAATCATAATTTCATAAAACAAAATTTTTAGTCTTCTGAGACTCTGGTACAGACATCTGAAACACTTTTAGCTACAGGCTAATATGTATGAATTTTTTTTATATAGGTTAGACGCTCTTATAGAGACAGAGATCAACTCTAAACTCACAGATAGTAAACAGAATGACATACTAATATGTATTAAGTTCGATATGATTAATTGATTACTGCCACTTCAATTTTATTTTTAAATTACTTTTTGAAACATATCAATAATGTGACGTCAAAATAATATAATACAACGAGTAATTATATAATAGCCAAATATTTACATAACAATATTTGTTCTTCAATTACGCTCAATTTGGACTTGATTGTTACAAATCGATGACAGTTAAAAGTGACAATAATTTTAACGGAAACTCTTTCCATCGTTATAGATCTACTGAAAATAATAATAATATTATAAAAACCTAAAATAATCCGACAAAAAAAAAAACTACGATAATATAATTAGTAAAAAACTAAAACAATGCAGAATCAATCTTACTACAGTATCATTAAATGCCTTCAAAACTATGTACACTTTTACAATTTGTTGAACATTTATATCGAGATGCATGAAATTTCATTTCAGTTAGACAATTTTGTAACTATACATGATATTTTTTCCTTACAACTAGCAAAATATATATTCTTATTAGTCAAACATGAGTACAATTCATTTTCAGTTATAGATCATCCTACAAAATTCTTATCTACACTACGTATAATTAATCATCAAATTTTTTTTTCTTTCTTATTAATATACTCCACAAATTGTATGCCATTGATATTAATCAATTAAAAACTTCTTACCCTTTATCCACCAATAACATATCAAAACACAATTATTAAGTTTCTGCAATTTAGTTCTGATACACTGGACTACTCGCGATTTCAACTCACCCAAATTTTTATGCATAATATAATCCACATTTCAAGACTAAACATTCAAATCAATTGGGACGAAATTTAAATAAAAAAAGCATGGCAGAAAAAATGGTACTTTCGAATGAAGATCCAAGATATTGATATAAATGTATTTTTAATTACGCATACAAAAAAATTTCTTTAACAAAACGAAGACCACCATCAGCGTATTGACAAAGTTCTAAAACAGCGAAATAACGTAATCAGTTAATTTGTGTCCATCGGACCTTTTGAAATATGACATGACCTAGTGACATTTTAAAAAAATCCCAACTGACCATTTATATAAGGAGCTAAAGTGCGATAACAAATGTACGGCTTACCGCATATATGTTATAAGTCACCATGACGAGCATAACTCGTCACCCTCGGACAAGCATATGCTTATGACAATGACCGCCGTTGAGTGGCTATCTTGAAAAAACATATTAATCAAACGACACCAAGTAGCAAAGTACTCGAGAACTATCAACACATATGGGACATATCACACGTGCTGCAAAGCATAAACGACTTAAGCTCGGATATTTTTCAAAGGATTTGTATCAAACAAAGTCTATTGAATCATTCTGTCAAAAAGTTTAACGACTGTTTCTGGACATTTACCATATTTTTTTTCCACAATGCTTATTCTTATTATCGCAACCTCTGCAACTGTAGGCAAATATTATTTGTAAATTGGAAGCTAAGCTAACCGTCAAATTGGATTTCATTTAGTTGATGTGAATATCTTAGCAGGCAGCTCTAGCTTCTATGGTGGCAAAGGCTGTCAGGGGAATATGTGCCAATAATACCGTTGAGGATCTTTTCATCGATGAGATGCAAAGTTCCCGCGAAAAAATATCAATCACTGGGGCGCGGATAAATACGACACATTAGATTTATTTTTATAATGTATGCGAAAAAGGATATAATATAATATAATATACGTATCAAGAGCATCGGAGACGAATGAATGGGAGTAGGACTACTATAGACTTATGTACCTGCTCTGATGCCGATAATACACACTAGTTATGCCTGAGATCGGTAATCCTGTAAGCCTTGCACTTGGACGAGTTCCGCGATCGAATACTAACACAGAAAAGAGAAAAGAGCGAGACAGGCCAACGGTTTTGCATTGATTCCAGGTCATGCCATAACATTTCCTTATAAATCCTGGGCCTTGGCTATAAATCTGTACGTTACGGGGCGAAAAAGAAAGGGGAGACAACTGTATGGAGGGAAAAATAGCATTGAGAGGGAGAGACTGAGAATTATAATGTTAAAGGGATGCCACCTATACTATTATATAGACCGTAGTGTAGCGGACCTTTGAAAAGCTCTCTTAAAGGGGAGAAATTAAAATGTAAAAGGGCTGATATGCGTGGAAAACCCAGCCCGATCGCCTCTTCACTCTCACTCTTTACAAAGCAAGGGATTTTGCAGGGAAATTAAAATTAACAGGCGGTGAGGAAGGGGATCTATGGAAGAAAATAGATGGGGTCCCGCACTCTGAGCTAAATGTAAACCATAAGGAGTACATGTATACTGTCAGGGACCTCCGGGATGTCATCTCGAGATATGTATGTTTTATCCTTATGTGTACTTTTTGAAAACAGAATACGTTCTACATATCAGACTTAATTTTATAAAAATTATATGATTGATGAAATTGATATTAGTTTTCAGAAATACTAAACACTTTTGACAGTGGTTTATGATAAAAAATTTAGTGACGAGCGACCTTATTTTTCATGAATTTGTTTCAGGACTAATTTGATCTTTAATTTTATATTTGAAACAACTATGATTTTATAATGAATTTATGAGAAAAACATTTTTAATTTTTTGCTAAAATGTTTGAAAAATAAAAAAAAAAAATAAGTCAAATTTCATGAATTTTTTTTCGA